GAGTAAGCCTGATTTACATTTGCTTTTCTGAACTGTATTGGATTTGCTTTACTTGTATACTGTTTAGGGTTTTCTATCATTAGTTAGTATGTGTGGATTATGATCTTCCGCACTTATGTTCTTTTTTTCAAAACTTTTCTGTTACAATTATAGCAGGGGAAGCTGCAGGCATATTGGACCTGCGACTGAGCATCCGAGGTGGTGAATAATAGCTCTTCAAGTCTGCAGTAAAAAATGGCCTCCAATAAAACTACATTGCAAAAAATGGGAAAGAAACAAAATGGAAAAAGTAAAACATTGAGGAAGCAGAACCTGAAGAGTTTGTGGTAGAAAAAGTGCTGGGCCGGCGTGCAGTGAATGGGAAGGTGGAGTGTTTTCTGAAGTGAAGGCATTTACAGATGCTGACAGTACATGGAAACCTGAAGAAAATTTAGATGTCCAGAGCTAACTGAAGCATTTCTTAATTCGCAAAAAGCTGGTAAAGAAAAAGATGGTACAAAAAGAAAATCTTTATCTGACGGTGAATCTGACGACAGCAAGTCAAAGAGAAAAAGAGGTGCTGCTGACAAACCTAAAGGTTTTGCTAGAGGTCCTGATCCTTAACGAATAATTGGCGCCACAGCTAGTAGCAGACAATTGATGTTTCTCATAAAATGGAAAGATTCAGATGAGGCTGACTTGGTGCTGGCAAAAGAGGCAAATATGACATGTCCTCAAATCGTCATTGCTTTTCATGAAGAGAGACTAACGGCATTCTTGCCCAGAAGATGAAGCTCAGAAACTTACATCATATATATATATATAAAATATGGGTCTTGGTTTTGATTTACTAGTGTGAAAAAACATTCTAATGAAAATCAATTTTTTTTAAAATCAAGTTTAATGTCAGTTTTGAAAGTAGTATTGGGGGAGTTTTTGGGTTTTATTTATTTTGCATCTACAGCACTGGTTAGTTTGAACAAATGAAGCTTTTGTAGTTGCTTCTTTTATTAAAAAAAAAATATTCTAGCAGGCAGCTAGGCACCGTGGTACTTGCCTGTAGCCCCAGCTTCTTGGGGGGGCTAAGGCAGGAAGATCACTTGAGCTCAGAAGTTCGACTCCAGCCTTGGCAAATATAGCAAGTCTACATCTCAAAATAAAATTAAATACATAAACACCAAACTAGACATATAATATCAGTCAGGTAATGTTCATTCTTTTTTATTCTCTCAAAAACAATTGTTTAACATTGGAAAAGGTTCTTATTCATAGTTTAGATACAGACATACTATTCAAGACCATAACAATCAGGTGTTTCCCTTGTAGGAAGATTCTTTCCTGATTCAATTCCTTTAATACTTGAACAAAACATCTAAGGTTTTCATCTCTCCTGTCAGATTTAACTGTATATTTTTCTTTCTTTTTTTGGTACCTGGGATTGAATGCAGGACCTTGCACTTTGCAGGTAGGTACTTATACTGCTGAACTACCTCCCCAGCCCCTGTATTTATCAGTAATTTATTTTATTTAAGTTTTCAAATGTATTGGTTGAAGCTGTTCAAAACATCTTACCATTTCTTCCTCACACCTGTGTGCAGTCACTACCCCGTCTCAGGCCTTCTAAACCAAAAGTATTCCAGGAAGCTGCACGACACTGGCTCCCTTTGTCATCCAAGGTCCCCAGGTATTATTAGGGACATTTCCTAATACGTCATATCTGGCTGACTGGCTCTGATCCTAAGACACTTGTCCCCTTGGAAGCAGCTTTTAAGGATGGGGCCCCTTGGGATGACTCACAGGCTAGATTTTCCTCTGTGGGTGGTAAGCAGTGTAACAGCAATGCCTGGTATGCTTAGCAATGAAAATACTGATTCTCTCACCTTGTGTAAAAATGCATGGGGTACAGAGGACTGAAAGGTGAACATGCTAAAAGGTCCTACTACATGCCAGTAGCTGACTAGTTCCCAGAGTGACAGTACAGGGATACTCTGGGGAGAAGGGCATGGCACCGCTCAAGTTAGTAGTGGCTACCAACCTCCAGCTGAGGATTCCTTGGCAATACCCCATACATCCATTACATCAATGTCTTCTTTGGCTGACGCTGATGTTGCTCCATGAGGGGCTCATTTCAATTAGGAAGGGTTACCCAGGGAGGAACTGGTACACGGATGGGTTACCTGGGTGTATTGGTGTAGGCCTCAGTAGAGTTCCACACAGGGATAGCTTTAAATACAGTGGTGAGGCAGTACCCTGGTCAGCCACTGTGTATGTGGACAAAGCAGCTGCCTTGCGAAGGGTTCCAGGATCCTAGACAGTGGTGAAAGGTTGGTCCAGAGATTGGCGAGAATGGTGTTTGGGGAACGGGCATGGTATGTAGGCCACTGTATTGCACACAAATGTCTACAAGAGTACAACGATGGCTGGAGAGTCACTAAAAATCAAATGTTGTTTGCTGAGCACAGAGGTACGCTGTGATCCAAGCTATTTAGGAGGCTGAAGAAGGAGGATCATTAAGTTCAACGTTGACCTGGGCTACACAGCTAGACTCTGTCTCAAAATTTTAAAAATAAGGGCCAGCCAAATAGCTCAGTGGATTAAAGCGCCTACTTAGGCAGACGCAGGGACTGGGGTCCAATCCTTGGCGTGCCATTCCAGCTCTGCCCCCAGGGCACGCTGAGATGGCGATTGAGACTAGATGTGGTGGCATGCACCTGTAATCCCAGCAATTGAGAGGCTGAAAACAGGAGGATCACTGAGTCTGATCTGTGTAGTGAGACCCTGTACTAAATACATTTTAAAAAATCAAATTTTTAAAAATATGGAGGGTTAGGGTTATAGTCTAGAGCTAGCGTGTTTGCTTAGCATGCTGAAGGTCCTGGGTCCAGTCCCTAGGACCATGGGAAAAAAGCATTTGTACGAGTGAACAACAGATGCCAGCCAGCCTCTGTCCTCACCGTTCCCGACAGGCACACAACAGAATCATGACTAGAGTGGCCATGACAGCCAAGATCTTCATCACAAGGCTGACCCAGCCTTGCCAGTGCTGACTGCTGGCTCACAGAGTGCCTCTGTGTGGTGCCAGGACGCTGCAACCAGCCACTCGGTGGTATACTAATCACAGGTACCCTTTACCTAGAAAAGTCAGTGATTTTCCTCAGCTGAGAACCACCATGTCACAGGCACCTTGGCCTGCACAAAGCTCTGCAAGCTGGCCTCAGACTGACTGATACAGAATCCATGTAACATCAACTCCTGGCAAGCAAAGATGTCAGTAGTCACAGGGTGATCCATTGGTGTCTCAAACACAACAGCACCAGATAAAATGTCGAAACGGAATCCAAAGCACAGATAAAATGTAGGGCTGGCAATGTACCTCAGGAGGCTAAAGTGCTGCACTGCAAGGTGCACCACATCCAGACAGTACTGGGAATGTACACTGCCCAACCAATATAATGCATGGATCTGGAAGACGGGTGGCCTCTTTCACCAACTTCCCAGAGAACTGCTGGGGATAAGTGTTTATCTTCACCATGACTTTACGTTAGGCAAATCTACAGGTCCCATTCAAAGGGGCAGGGAAAGCTACGGCCAGGGACTACCCAAAGCCATGGCCACTTGGCCATGGGAATTCTCAGGCCAGATGACCAGCAAGCCATGTAAAGAGCTTCCTTACTGACCACAGTACCTGAGCCTGACTACTGTGAAAGGCAATGCTGCTGCAACATGATGGTGCAAGAAGTCTGTTTCGCAGCCAAGGGGCTCCAAAGGGCCTTCCCAGATACTGCTGTAACCAGTGTTAACTGTAAGGAGACTACCACAGCATCCAGAATCAGACAATGGAATGGTGAGCAGGTCTTGGGCACCTAACAAGGCCAGCAAGAGCAGAAGGCTCAGCACATGTGAGGGGCTTGAAATGGAATGGTAGAGGGACAAGAGAAGGACATCAGCTCCACACGGACCAACATGGCAGGGAGCTCATCTATCACCCAGAGCACTTGGCTACTACCTTCTGAAGAATATACAGTGTGCTCAGCATGAGTATGGTGGAGCTGACTGGGGCCAGACAGGAGCCTGTATTCTACACGACAGTCCTAGCTGAGAGCACACAGGCCCCTCAGCTTGTAATGCCTGCATGCAGTACACTCAGGACAGCTGGAGGTGCCTAAATATCAAACACTGACATAGCCCATAGCCCCACAGAGTGCAGAGGCAGAAAAATCCATAGCCCCCTTTTCCTGCAGGGGCCAGCCTTGAGGGGTAACCGACTCCATCTCGGAGGTTCCCTAGGGATGATCCAAACCCTGTCCTGAGTATGGCTTAAGATAGGCCGCTACTGGCCCTCCTTCTCTTCCCCACTATGGCCCCAGTGGTTTTTCCTCTTAAGGAGTAACCTCTACATGAACCCTCATTTCAGCATCTGCTTCCAAAAATTCAAACTGAGGCAAACAAATGAGATTTTCTATTTGTTTTCAATTTAATGTCATGCACTAAAAACAAAAAAAAAAGTTTTTAGATTCAGATTCTTTGACATCTGTTGAGTTGAGTTTATGTCCTAGGACTGTCAACTTTCAGACATAATACACCCCTCTGACACAAGTATCTCTAGATAAATAGACAGATGATAAATATAGGTACGTAGGTAAATTAGATAAGTAAATACACAGACAGACAGACAGACACAGACTGACTGACCAACCTGTCTCTCAAATTTGATATTTTACTGTGTTTGACACATTTTCAGATTAAATTATTAGATATGTATACATTAGACATATAAAAATCTAAAAGCTGATGTTCCCTTTCTTGGTTGTTAACACAGAGCTCCAGAGGATTCTCAGACCACCAGCCTGGAAGATCTCTGGGATCTGCTTTCTCATCCAAGAAAGCACTTGCCACACAACACCCACCGCCAAGCTCCACCTCTGGAGAGGCACCCCGATCTGTCCTGGAAATGGGAAAACCCTCTAGAAGGAAACCACTTTGGGTCCCCAGTTGGGGGAGGTAACAAAAATGCTACTCACCGCAATCTCTGTTACTAAAATATCAGTAATACTTCCCAACACAGTGACAAAGTCAAAGACATTCCAGGCATCTCTGAAATAGTTCTAGAGAAAAAGAAGAGCAGTTAGTGCTGATAATTGGTGCAGGTGATGGCCCTTGATCAAGAAGGGGCAAGGATGATGGAATCTCAGCACAATGCCAGGGACAAGCAGATGACACCTCCGGCCTGGCAGATACAGAACGGAGAGACACATGTCCCAGCACTGCCTATGTCTGTGGACAATGCTGGGGCAAGACTCAGAAAGTAGAGACTGACAGTGTACCCCCTTTCCTGGGGTTCTCACCATGTCACACATGCTCTCAGGATTTCAAGACTTTCCAGATCCAAACTTTGAGCTAACAAAAATCACCCAAGACAGGGGGAGCAAAATGTAGGCCAGAAATGTTGGCAAATAGGAAGTCAAGGCACGTACCAGCACCCCAAAGGCGATGATCTTCAGCACGCATTCCATGGAGAACATGGATGTGAACACAATGTTCAGGCATTTCAGCATCAGCTCATACTCGTAGGGTGCATCGTAGAACTGACCAAGGAATAAGTGTCAATGGCTGAGAGCACAGCAGCCCCAGACACCCCACTCAGGACCAGTACAACCTCCTACGCAAGTACAGGGCAGACAGACCCCACATCTGCCCATGCCCAGGACACCCCTCCTTGCTTTCCCCCTGGTTCTCCCAGAATCTCCTGTCTCAGCCCACAAGCAACAAAGGAATTGGGATCCCACAGGCTCCCTGTGCAGCCGGATGTGAAGCAACTGCAGCTCTGGTATATGATGGCAGGAAGAAGGCTGCATAGAATAGTCAGGAATCCTGACTTCCATGGGTGCTAGCTGGTCACCCACCATCACTACCCACATACCTTCATCATCAGTACCACAGTGTTAAGAGCAATCATGGCCATGATGAAGTACTCGAAAGGTGGAGAGACAACGAACGTCCACGTCTTATACTGGAATGATTGTCTGTTTTGAGGCATGTACCGTGTCAGGGGCTTGGCGCTGATGGCGAAGTCAATACAAGCCCTCTGCATAGGGAGAAAGAGTAGCTTAAACTCAGGAGGCATCTAGTTCTGTGGCCCTTCTGGACTGTACCCAGTGCTACCCCCATGGGGAGCTGAGATAAGAGATGAGGCAGTAAAGCAAGCCCAAGCCTCCTCCAAGCAGGCCCCAAAGATAAAAAGCAGCCTCCTTCTGTGGAGGAAGGAGGTCTTGCGGGTGCTGGCTATGAGTACAGTGTGTGCAGAAGGTGGTTTTCCCATACTGCCCATAACAGAGTACACATAGGCTCTGCCTACCTCGTTCTTCTCCAGGCTGCATTCAGACATCACCTTGTCCCCCTGCTCCTGGAAGGTGATGATGATCAAGGCCACGAAGATGTTGACGAAGAAAAAGGGGAAGACCACAAAGTAGACCACATAGAAGATGGAAAGTTCCATGCGAAACCCAGGGCTTGGCCCCTGTTCCTCATAGGTGGCGTCCACGGAATGTTTCAGCACCCTGGCCAAGGGGACAGCAGACATCAAGAGGGCTTCCCAGATTATTACCTACGCTACAGGGACACTTCAGGTGTGGTGCAGACCGGTGATGAGGGTGGGGGTGGTAGGACTGGAGGGGGTGAGCTGAGTTCACAAGTGCCTGCCTGAGTTTCCTCTCTGCCAACCAGCTTCCCTAAGCTGGGAGCACTCACATAGGCCACCCTTCTCCTGTGGACACCGTGAACAGTGTCAGCAGGGCCCAGAGCACATTGTCATAGTGGAAGTCATATTTCTTCCATTGTCTCGGTTGTGCTTCCACTTCCTCCTTCTCATAATCCAAATACTGACCCCTGAGAATGGAAACACAGGGAGGAGAGGTTAAAGATAAAAAAGAAAGAGAAAAAGAAGAGCAGTTAATGCTGTAACTGGTATAGGTGGTGGCCCTTGATCAAGAAGAGGCAAGGATGATGGAATCTCAGCATCCAAATAAACCTATTTGGTTTTGGTCAGCCCATTTTGAAAACAGTACCAAGTCTATCATATGTGGAAAAAAGGGCCTCCTCAAAAGATGACACCAGGACAACTGGACTTCCATTCATTTTGATACATAAGCACAAATTTGAGCGCTAACCTCACTCCCAGTGTACAAAGTAATGCAAAATGATTCAAAGACCTAAGTGTTAGTGCTAAAAGTATAATATTTTTGGAAAACACAGGGGTAAATCTTCATGGTCCCATATTTGGGAATGGATTTTTAAATTAGGGGTTTTTTTTTTTGTTTTTGTTTTTGTTTTTTGATGTAGAGTCTTGCTATGCAGTTTGAACTCATAATGATCCTCCTGTTTTCAGCCTCCCCAGTGCTGGGATTCCAGGAGTATATCACCACTCCTGGTTTTGGAAATGGATTTTTAGATAAGGATCCAGAATCAGGAACAACAAAAGAAAAAAAAAATGACATAGGATTAACTTCATTAAAATTTTAAATTTTGTGTTCCAAAGGATACCATCAAGCAAGTGAAAAAAAAAAAAAGGCACAGAATAAGAGAATCTGTCAGTTATATAAAAGTACTATACAATCAATAAAAAAGACAACCCAATTTCTTTTTTTTTTAAATTAATTTATTTATTTATTGTGTGTGTGTGCACGCGGTCAGCCCAGCCCACCTGGGGGCGGGGCTGGCCGGCATGTGGTGCTGGGGACCAAACCACGGTCGCTGCGCTTTTGCTTAGCTTAGCCTATTCTAAGTAGGTGCTCTAGACCACTGAGCCATCTCACCAGCCCCGACAACCCAATTTCAACAGTGGGTCAAGTATCTGAATAAATTTTTTCTCCAAAGAAGACATAAAGGGTCATTTAGCACATGAAGAGATCCTCAGCATAATGAGTTGTCACAAAAAAGCAAATCAAAACCACACTGAGGTATCACTTCATTTCTATTAGGATGAATGTAACTAAATAGAAACAAAAACGAAAAGGAAAAAATTGTTGGCAAGGATATAGAGAAATGAGAACATACATGACTGGTGAGAATATAAAACAGTTTAGCCACTTTGAAAACAATTTGGTATTTCCTCACATAGTTAAATACAGCTATCATATCACTCATCAATTCTGTTCTTAGGTGTATGGTATACCCTAAAGAAAGGAAATGTCTATACAAAAACTTGTACACAAATATTTGTAGTAGCATTATCCATAATAATCAAGAGGTAGAAATAAGCCTCAAGTCTACCAACAAGTGAATAAAAACATAAAACATGGCATATCATAGAGCCATATTATGGCTATGTCCCTGAGAAGTCTTGTGTTCAGAGTTGGGGCTTTTGGAAGGACAGCTATATTCATCAATGGATAAGAGGAATGGCCTAGACATAAAAAGTGGAATGGGTCAGGTGTCAAGGTGCAAGCCGGTAATCTCAGCACTCAGAAGGCTGAGACAGGATCACTGTGAGTTCAAGGCCAGCCTGAGCTACATGTTGAATTGAAGCCCAACCTGCACTACCTAGTAAGACCTTGTCTAAAAAAGAAAGGCAGGGGCTGGTGAGATGGCTCAGTGGTCTAAAGCACCTACTTAGAACAAGCTAAGCTAA